TTTGTACTCCTCTGCTGACAGATATTGCACTTTCCTAACCTAATTGGAGGGGCGGGGGCTGCTAATGTGGACGCATGGCTCGCATGATGCAGACCACTTGCCTGTCCCCCCCCCCCACTCCCTCCCCCACACACACACACACACACACACACGCATGCTCACTACCTCCCCTAACAATTTGTGTCACTGTGTTTGAGAAGTGCGATCTGACAAGACTCAAATGAGCTAATGCACTTTGTGGGATGGTAAACGTACACACACACACACACACACACACACACACACACACACACACGCCCAAACCTCCATGCACAGTCTGCACAAACAGAGTGGACACACTCATGTTCAGACATGTAAACATAATATTACATGAATGCAAAGAAATATGCGGAGACATAATAAAAAAAACTGGTGTTACACTGAAAATCTGTGACCACAATTTGTGACACTTAAGTGTTCACTCAGAAAAAGAGATTAAAGTATTGACTAGTTATTGACGAGTCAGAGTATTTAACAGGTCACAGATTGCTAAAATGTGTAAATGCAGTTGCATGAACACAATACATTAAGGTTATACCAGATATTAAGAATGATGTTCAAGTTGAATTCTTGGTAACTTTTTACAACATTTTATCAGATCCCACAATTTAACTTTTGTCTGAAAGAAACAAGAATGTGTATCGGGGTGCAACTCCACAAAATGAAAACCTAATATGGAAAAAAAGAGATTTATTTTGGGGTTCTCTCTTCGACTTTTGCTGCAGGGAAAGTGTTGAGAATCTGATCCACAAGCACTCGTATGCCCGGTCGCCGATCCGAACCTACGCTGGCGACGAGGAGAACCTGCACGAGGACGGACACGGTGGACTCACCAGAGGTGAGTCACCTCAGCACAGACAGGAGATGAGGAAATGCTGTATTTGGCACTGACTCAAACTGTGTTTTTGGAGCAATATTGCACAAAGGAAGAGGAAGTTTATTTTATTTTTTTCATTCTGTTAGTTAAAAACAAGAAAATATAAAGAATATTAGCAGCTTCATCCTGAGTATGTATGACCCTAATATTTACATCCTCCCGTGTCTCCTGCAGGCTCTGCGTTCACCGCCTCAGACAACCTCTCCCTCAGCTCCTGGGTCACCACCGCTTCGGGCTTCTCGGGCTTCCAGCACCCACAGTCCCTGTCGGCCATGGGCTCCGGCTCCCTGCCCCACCCCATCCAAGGCTCCCTGCCCCCCTACAGCCGGCTGGGCATGCCGCTGACGCCCACCGCTCTGGCTGGAACCATGCAGGGCAGCGGGCCGGCCTTCCCTTCCTTCCACATGCCCCGCTACCACCACTACTTCCAGCAGGGGCCCTATGCCGCCATCCAGGGACTCCGCCACTCCTCCACGGTCATGACGCCCTTCGTATGACTCCGTCCTGGGGAGGAGTCGGCCGATCTTCGCTCTGATCCCCAATCCAGTGCAACCAGTTATTTCTCCACTCGGGCTCATCACTCCTCATCCTGTTTGTATCGTCCCCCCCTGGTCTTTGTAAATAGTTCACCTGCAGCTGAAGAGGATGTGGCATACTGATCCACAACATTCAGAAAATAGAAGGACTGTGTGCGGACACATCGGCACCTTTCTGTGAACACTTCAGCGACATTGTACAAACTGCAACCTCAAAACAAACTATAAAACCTAATGCGAGACGAGACAAGGAGCATGTTTGTTCTTGCCCCCTTGAAGAACAGAAAGTGGAGCCTCCATTTTAACGTATTGAAACAATATTTAGAAGAACCTCTAAAGGTGCAACAGTCCCTACAGGGCCTCCACCGAGGCTTTAAAGAGGCCAGGTTGCTGTGTGACCCTTCAACGTTTTCGGAGAGACTCATCTGATGCTACAGCGTGTTGGCCACCGAGGATCAGTCCGATCAGTCCGAGTCTGTGAACATTTCAGCATCAGAGTCTCAGCTTTCCTCCGTTTCCTTGAAAGCCAGCCATATGTACAGTTCAAACCTCACTCTCTGTTGAAAATAATGTGAGAAACATGTTAAAACGCATTGTACAAAGATGAAAATGCAACATTTACTCATAGGAAAATTCTCACTGTAGAGTGCAAAAAAAAAAACAAAAAAAAAAAAAAAAAAAAAGAAATCATAGGACGCATGCTGACAGCAGTAGACAAACACGCTGGGTAAACTCTATATGGAATAATATGGGATGAATAAGCTCTGAGGCTTTAGAGGCGCGGTCACACCAGCATGTAAAACTGCAAACTTTGGCAGCAAAAATCAATTCATTTCAATGGAATCTGTGGATGAATCTGAACAAATATTTCGCCTTGAGTTGCACTTTGGTAATTCTGACTCACTGGATGTAGACTGAGGATAAAAGCCTGCCATTCGCCGCTTATTTCAACCGTCATTTCCCCTTCTGCTATTATTTTTGCTTTAGCAAGAGCACCGTCGCCACATCCAGTGCTTCAGACGATTATGATTTGGTTTAAAGACATAACACTATAGCAGAATGATAATGTGTGGAGCCAGACCTCTCTTCATGAGAGACTATACTTTCCCCCATTGGCCGATGGCAAACTGTGTCGACAGTGCTGGACATCTGAGGGAACGGAGAGTCCAAGATGTTGGACGCTATCGTAGCTCTATACGCTTTTAACTAACCACCTCTGCTGGAGTGTCAACTGCTCCACAAAGAAGGAGTGAGGAGTTGATGTTGTACATGTGTGTCTTTTGAACAAACTGCATGTTGGGAATCATAGCCGCTGAGCTTCTTAACAGACAGCTCACAAACCAGCTCGCTTGGAGAGCTTTTTGTTTCTCTTCTCAAATGAAATCCTGAAAGGAAATGCCACATGGGATTAAACCTGCCCGGTCCAGAGAGACTACAAAGAGACTCAAGAGGGTTGTTGTGACTGACCAGTGCTAGCACGTTAGCGGTTAGCTCGTGCAAGCCACAGTAGCTCATCAACTCGCCCTGAGAGTAGTCCGGAGTCACCTGGTGGCTACTTCCTGGTGTGACCACGCTTTCACTAAGAGGGATTCATCCACATCATCTGTCGAGCTCAAATCACAACTTTTAAAATTGTCATATTTCCATTCACTGTGTGAAACGGGCCCATAGAGGACAGCCCTCATCAATCTATTTCCACAGGTAGAAGGTGAACTCATCATGCCTTTTCATCTCTAGCAGTGTGACTTCATGTGTTTTCATTGTAAACACATCTGTGGAGAAACGTCACGGTGTTTTCCGGCGCCTGCAGCCCGTTAGCGGCTGGTCTTCAGCAGGTGTTACCGAGCTGATGCACACCTGGAAATAATGGCTCTCTGCTGTCTCATTTAAACATGCAGGGGGGAAGAAAACGAGGCCGGAAGCTGCTGGAGTCCACTCAGTACCTGGTGCATACAAAATGGCAGCTCACTGGTGGAGTAGACAGATTAATTTATTTAAACAATATGAAGAAATACAAGGTACACAGATGATGTGGTTCTGCCTGAAATGACAATTATTGCTGTTGTTTTGAATACACTTTATCATGAAGATATATTTTCAATCCAACATCCAAAAACTCTGTTTTCTATAACCGAGTTCTAAAACCTCGAGCTAGACTCAAACGGATAGATCGATATATGTGTACGTGTCGGCCCTAATCGCAGCACAGAAATGCCCAAATATGTTAAAGGTTATTTAAGAACTGTCTCTGAATGCAGTTTGGTCATTTACATCTATGAACATTTTTTTTTGGGGGGCTGCAACAACTTAACAGTTATTGTTATTGATTACTCTGCTCAAAATGGTTATGTTTATAAAATGTCTTTGAAATATTAGTTAGAATTTCTAAGAGCTAAACATGACAAATTTAAATGTTGTTATTTTTCAACCAGCAGTCCAATACCCCCAAAATATTCAGTTTATTATCATAAATCACAAATGAATGCATAATATCCCGAGAAGCAGTTACATGTTTGACAAATGACTGAAACGATTAATCAAGTTCCCATCGATGACTAATCGTTGATTTAAATTCTTAACCAAACTGATTTAAGAGATCCTTATCGAATGTTGGTTTATGTTTTACATTAATTGGCTGATTATTTTATTTATTTATTTTGTACTTTAAAATATCAAACATTTGGATCAGTTTAAAAATAAATCCAGTATTTATCTAATAAAACCTTTATTTTCTCAGCAACAATATGACTTAAGGACACAATAATTAAATAAATCGCTGGTTGTGTTGGACATTTTTTTTTCACGTTTTATTCACAAAATTCAAAGAAACTGAAATATTTCAGCTTCTCGCGTCATGAAAGCAGCATTTTAGACGCATCCAAAGCGGACGATAAGTTCATTGAGGTGTGAGTGTGATGGACGATGAAGACACTTTTAATGCTGCTCTGTGCAGAATTCAAACACGTGTATTAAAGTGATACATGAGCTGGTAACACGAACACTGTGACACAGTTTGCCACGTTTGAACATATGAAGCCCGCTGCAGTGAAACATGGACACACGTTCTGTTCTGACCCCTTGCATGTTATTTATGTGCGAGCAGTTGGTTTTACCTCATCTGTTTATCGAGGAAAGTCAAGAACATCTTTGTACTTTGACCTGTTTTTCTTCTTCTTTGCTTTGGAATTGAGATCTCGGTCCTTTACTGATGTGCAACCTGAGCTCTGTTTGTCAGGTGCACAAATGAGCTGAATGTTGATTACGTTGTGTAAATGTAAAACACTTTTGTTTCCCTCTTTTGAACCATACGCACAGTCCCGACTCACCCCTGAAAACAAATCCTTTTTGAACAAGACGTTTTCTTTTGTATGACGTAATACAAATACGACACCGAACGAGATTGTTGTTTTGATGATTTTTAAGTGCAATATATTTATTTTGCTCTCTGGAAATAATGTGTAATGTACTATGCCACATTTAAAAAAAAAAAAAAACGTTATTTGTAAACCTTGAGAAATATATATCACCACCCAAAACTCTCCGAGTTCTTTCTTTTCACTGGCTGACTTTTCTCTCTCCACGAATCACAGAAATAAATTCTGTGAATTAATTTCAAAATAAGTGACACAAGTATTTATTAAGGTTTCTGCACCACCTGTCACAGTGAGACATTTTCTATTTCTATCGGAGTAATATATCTCTAATTTATTTTTCCCATGCAAGTATTAAGAAAGTCTTCTGTATCTCCTAGTTTGGAGTTTATGGGATGAAATATTGTTTGTATTGTGAAAAAGCCAGAACAGTAAATAAGTTGCCAAGACAACAAAAACAGAAGCAGAAATTATTCTACCTCAAAAGCTTCATCATGATGTAAACGATCATAAAACGCATCCTACACCACCACCTAGTGGGCAGCTGTTGTACTACATTCGCAAAAAACATTTATCTGAAAGCGAGCCATAAACTGCACTCTGAGTCTGAATATTAACTCTTACTTTAACAGAGAATTGCCAGATTCATTTTGAAATCCTTTAGAGCTGCAGAGAACCTGCAGTCAGCATATAACTCTAAAGATTCATGCAACCTCAATCCCTCGTATTACACTTCACTTTACAAGTCAAAGTGCATTCAGAAAGAAATCAGACACTTTTCTCACATATTCTTATGTTACATCCTTGTGGTGAAATTGTTTAAATTAATTTCCCCGTAAAAATCCTACAATGACAAAAGAAAAACAGGTTTTCAGAAAAAACAATTGAAATATCACATATACATAAGTACTCAGGTCGTGTCAGGCCTCAATTCAGCAGGAATGTTTTTGCAGCCTCATCCAGATCTGTTCCTCGACACAATCCTGTCTCTGAGCTCTGCGGGTGGATCCCTTCGCCTCATGGATGAGCTTCTGCTCTGATTGGTCAGCTGTGAGACCTCATTCACACACACAGGCGTGTGTGTGGGTGTGTGCATTTCCAAATCATGTCCAATCACTTTAAATGTACCTCAGGTGGACTCCAATCAAAACGTCTCAGAGGTGATCCAGAGAAATCGGAGACACCTGAGCTCTGACGTCAATGTGATATTTCAGTTTTGTTTTTGTTTATGATAATTACTGTTTTTGCTTTGTCATTATGGAGTATTGTGTGAAGATGGACGAGTGGGAACGGTAACCCATAATGCTACAACATGACTGTACTACATATAAATAAAATCAGCCATAATCTGTATCAGACAAGTTTGTGACCTGTTACCAACAAGTTATGTCTTTAAATATTCACAGTAACTTATTTACAGACAATAATGTTTTTTTCCTCTTAAATATGGAAATAAAAACATTAATGTGTCACAGCCATTCGAGGTGACGTGGCTGATCGGTCAGATTTGGAACCAGATACTTTTACTAACTCTCAAAACTGTGAAAATAGTTGAGGACAGCACATTGTGCTTCATACACATATTCCTAAAGCAAGAAATGATTGATGTCAAATTTTTCCCTTTTTTTAATCTGCAGGACAATTATCTTATAAAGGGGCGGACAGGTTTTCCTTGCTTGTCGTCCTCTTTGCAGCAGGAGAACACAGAACATCACGGCCTCATAAACTGATTCAACCGTCACATCCACAATTTCACGGAAGACATTTTTCGAGATGCAAAGGCACAGAAATAAAAAAAAATGAACGATAGCTGAGTTCCACTTAGCTGCTTCAGTTTCAGGGTTAGGATTAGGGTTAGTGGTGGAATGTAACCAAGGAGTAGAAGTACAAATTCAAGGAACTTGCACTTTGAGTATATGTCCAGTGTATTCTTCTTTATACTTCTACTCCACTATTTGTCAGACAGCTTTAGTTCATTTCACCTTGTATCTGCAAATTTGGTGATTTTGAATTAGATTTTTTTTTCTGGTAAACTGAAGGATGAAGTGTTCCTTTATGTATTGATAAAGTTATCATACTTCTTATGATAAATAAACTATTTAAAAAGCCTCTTGGATCAGCTGGAAAATGCATTGCCTCACAGCTGAAAGAAATTGGCTTTACTTGGTTTTAATGAC